ATAAATTCTTTGCCACAAGCATTTTTGCTGCAAACATTTTTACTACTTCACTTATTGACTGTAAGGCAATTTTAATATAAAAGATAAGTGGTTGATAGCTTGGTTTGACAGTTTGTTTTCAAGTTTGGTTCATATAGTGACAAGTAGAAGTGGTGGTCTTAAAATATAGGTAACTACGTATATGAACTTGATAAAAAATATAGCAATAAAATTTACTAGAAGTGTGAAATAAGAAACTTAACACCAGATTGCATAGTTTACTAGAAAATGGTAGTTTGTTTGCAAATTCCTTAGCAACTGCAGTCAAACCTCCCAATATCAAAACCAACAGTTTACCAAGCTAAAACAAATCTAAAAGAGGTGGCCAGTGATTCACAAAAATCTTCAAGAGCAGTAATTATCATTATAATAATTATAATTATTATTATAAATTATTTAAATTTATATAATTAAAATTATATAAATTTTATATAATTTACACACCACATCTTGCTCTCCAATGCTGCCTTTACCAAATTTGGTGAATTAAAGCTGAATTAAACATGAAAATTAAATGCACTACACCATCAGCATCAACATTTCTTCCACGTTGTGACTTTTTTTTTTTAATCAAGCTGACAGATGAGGGTAATATGCCCCAGAGTAAGGTGCTTATTTCAAAACACACTACATTGGAAGAGAAAGAGACTGAGGACCATGAAAGTGTGGACTTGAATCCAGGTTTCCCACACAACTTTGGAACACCCATCAGCAGACATGTGACAATATGCCAAGAACAGATAACGGCATAGTAGTCTTTCCCAACATAATACAGTGCTCACTTACAACTGTGTATCCTAGGATTAGAAACTGATAACTCTTTTAATGTGAAGGAAGAAATTTTAGCAAAAAAAGCACTTTTAATTGTGTTATTAATATTTTGTGTTTCATTATTATCTTTATCTTTTTTAATGCTAGAATTGCCTTTTGGCCAATTTGTTTTGTGGTGAAAAATATTTTCAGCAAAGCTCTCACAGTGAATCTACTGTTTAAGCCATCCAGTCTATGGTATTAACTAGTGCAAACTAACTGAGATGATACTTTGGTTTGCATTTCTTAAGGATAAAATTGTTGTAAGCAGCCAAATTACAGTTATCAGCTTCATATATTTATATTGATACCATACTTTTACCTAATTGTCTGCATTCCAGTTTTATTAATTGATCTAATAATGTTTTTTATGTCATTTTTTTCTTCTAGTACAAGATTCATATAGGAATATGTAATACATTTAGTTGTTACACCTCTTTAGTCTCTTTTAATCTGGAATATTTCTTTGTCTTTTAACATTAGTGCTTTAAAAGAATTAAGTCCCTTTTTTAAAAAATAAGAAAAGTATTTCTGACTTGTCTAATGTTTATTCAATATTAGATTTGGTTTATGCATTCCTAGCTCAAAAACTATAAAAATGAAATGGTGTCCTCCAAAGAGCATCACAAAAGGAAACATCAATATTAATCTTCCCATCAAAATGATTTTCTGCCCATCAAAATAATTGATTTGATCTGCCCATCAAAATGATTTTCATTTTGATCACTTGGATAAGGTGTGGCCTGATTGCTTCACTGATCAATTACTACTTTTCCCTTGTAGTTGGTGGGTAATCACTTCAATACAATGCCATTACTCTGTTCCTCATCAAAATTTAGTCCCATGCTTAGCTTTCTTTGATCATTTTTTGGCCTGAAGAATCTTTACTATGAGGGTTGCATTATTAGTCTTTCAGTCCCAGCCTTCCTTTTTTCCATAGCCTCTAGTTAGTATTTCAACTTCCATAAGCAAGAACCCTCTTTCTCCAAGGATTTCTTCCCTCCCTCTCTCTTAGCTTTCCTTTCTTTACCTGTTATTGCAAAGAACTCATGGGTTCCTATTTTTTCAATGACTTGTAGTTCATTGCTGTTCTGAATTACTGTGGTATTCAAATTTTCCCCAATTTGGTCAGTGGGCGTGCCTTCAAGCTGACTTTTGTTTTCCATGAGGTGCATGCCCACGTCATTTTTTTTTTTTTCCTTTTTGATACTTCTTTATTTTCTGGTATAACAAAAGAAAGGCTCTCTTCATGACTTGTCTATGACAGCCTTCTCATTTTTTCTCTCATATGCCTATGGTGTCTCTTCCTTTTTTTTTTTATAAAAACACCAATATTTCTTATCAGATTGTTATGTTATCTTTTTTACCTTTATTTAAAAAAATTTTTATTTTATATATTTTTTACATCATTTTTCATTTTTGCACAATGTATGCATTTTCATCTTGGTTATAGTCCCCATACAATTCCCACCCCCCCTTGTTTTCATCCTACTCCCTACTCCTCCCCCTGTAGTGTGTCTCTGGTTTATAGCTGCTTGTTGATTTTGATTTTTACTTTATTATAATCATAAAACTTGCAGCAACATGGATGGAGCTAGAAGGGATCATGCTCAGCAAAATAAGCCAGAATGAAAAAGAAAAATACCAGATGATCTCACTCATAGCAGGAATTTAGAAAACCTAAATAAGGGACCAGGGAAAAGACTAATTATTATGTTATCTTTATGACTTCATTTAACCACAATCAACTCTCTGAAGGCTCTTCCTCCAATAAGTCAGTTTGGGGGTGAGGGCTTCAACATGAATTTGAGGGGCAATGAAAATCAGAGCCTTGAGGCCCATGAGCCTGCCCTTACTTCAGTGCAAGTCAGTCTGGGCAGGAGAATACTTTTTCCTCTTATATCTGACTCTGTGATTTTAAATGGGCCAATCAGGTTCAAACTAAATGGACCAATAAGGTTTGAGCAAAATGGACTAATCAGGTTCGAGCTCTTCATCTATCACTCAACCTTGAGATAACTGGATTGAAAATGAAAAGTGAGCTGGTTGGTGCTAAATGGTTCAATCAAATGCTCAGGCTTGAAAATGATCCAATCAGGCTTGTAGGGTAGGGACCCTGAAGAGGATATAAGGCAGAGTAAGAACCAGCTTGAGTCAGTCAGCAGTTGGCCTCTGAAGAGAGTGTTCATTGGACCACTTTTGAAGAGGAAGCATTCAGCAGCTGACCTCTGAAGAGAGAAACGAGCAGTTGATCTCCATGAGATTCAGTAGACTTCTAGACCTCTAGATCTCTGTACACCTATGCAGAGAACTTGCCAGTGGCCCTGCCTCTGTCCCTGCCTCTAACATTGCCTATGATGAGCATCATCAGCCTCAGTCTGGTGTCTCAAAGATCTGTTTGCTGTTGGTATATGCCAACAGCTCACAAAGAGCTGTCCACAGCGTCTAGTTCTCTGGCACCACCTCCTGGTGCTGTTGAGTCCATCATTATCTTGTCCAGTGTCTGGCCCAGCCTTTGGATTGCTGCTGTGGGCTGTTGCTTATCTTCTATAAGCAGTCTTTTTTGGGGCTTCTGGGCACTACAGACACTGGGGTGGGACAGCCAGCCACTTGGGGCCTTAGATACTTCCCTTTTCCCCAATCCCCTGTTTGTTAAATAAACCCTATTGTTACTGGACCATGAGCCTGAGTGGTCTTGCAATGACAGGGGCGTGTCCCCCAACCTTGAGCACTGCCCCTTGACACTGTCTCGAGTACCGAATTTGGCACTTTTTTAAGTACTGTGTCTTAGCACTGTTTCAGTACAATTTTTGTACTGTTTTAATACTACTGTTCAATCTAGAACAAAGAGAAAGAAGATTTGGGAAGAAATGCAATTATGGATGGTTATTATTTTCTTTATATACATAGAAGTGTCTGTAAGTGTTTACACACACACGTACATGTATTCTTTTCTTGTGTTTTCTAACTCTCTGCAGTGAGCATTTCTTCCTTTATAACTGGAGAGGTTACTTTAAACAGGTTTCTAAAACAGTAGTGTTCCATCTCCCTGGTGTCACCTTTTCCTGGCAGGTGTTCCCCTGGGCGCTGTTGCTCTGGCAATGCCTTACTCTCCTCATCCTGAGGCCCATGGGGTGCCTGAACTCAGGTCAGACTCCCCATCCAGTTGAGTAGAAGAACTTTATTCTCCCTCAAGTCTCTTGTGCTGCACTTAGAAAACTGACATAACTGAGATGTTGTCCAGGCACAACTGGTCCCCCGGGAAGGCCTCATACGATGATAATATCCTAGAAATCAGGCACCTGAGGCCTAGAGATGGACAGGCCAACTTTAGACCACAGAGTGAGTTAGACACAAAGCAGTCTCCCAAGTCCCTGTACAATTTTGAAACTTTTTTTTTTTTTTTGAGAAAATCTTTGACTCTCATTTAAATGGTCACTAGAACTATTGTGGTAGATTCAGAACAACATCCATTTAAGATTAGGGATGTTTTCTCACTCCTCTTTCCATCCACCAGATCCCTCTTTGTAGCCCAAGAGCCTAGGATGAGCCTGGGGGGGATGAGAACTGACCAGTTCCCAGCAGGTTGTATGGAGCATCTCACCAGCCTGGTGAGAGTTTCATATTTGAAGATGTGGCCCCAACACACAAGCCAAGTGCTGCATTTGGTGCCCATCCGTAGACACAGCCATCTGCTCCAAGTTGCAGAAACCACTGGGTGTGGCAAACTCATGAGAGGTGCTAAATAACTGCATGCTGGACTTTATAGGGAACTGAAGACACTTTCAGGGATCATTTTGAGTATATGAAAGTCTGACTTGACCCTCATTCCCCGACCCCCATGCTAGGACACCAGGTGGAACTGAAGGGGACAATAGCCAGGCTCTTCTCACTCTCAGTAATCTCAAAGTCTGACTGGAATCCTTGTTGCTCCATGGCTGATCAGTGGTGACAAAATGACCTTTCAGGTCCACAGATTTCCGCAGGCAAATTGCCTTCTTCACATGTGCAGAACAGAGGTTCTGCACCCAAATTTAGCAGCTCAGGGTCTTTGGGACCTCCGAGGCTTTGGGACCTCAGGTGGTGCCTGTGATGTGTCCATTATTTATATGTCAATGTCCAAGTGACAGCTTGTCTGTGTCCTCTTGCAGTTGGTCACCACAGAAAAGCGCTTCCTCAAGGACAGTTTGTACAATGAGGGAATCCTGATCGTGTGGGACCCATCTGTGTACCATTCAAATATCCCAAAGGTAAGTGGGTGGCCCTGGCATACAGGTGTGAGTCTCTGGATTGCTATAGATTTTCCTGAGTTTGGAGTTTGTAAAGTCACAGCTGCCCTGAGCAGGAGAATGGCTTTAGGAAGGAAGGCACCCTCACTACTTCAGTTTCCACAGTTTTGCGCTGATCTCACTTAGAACTCAAATTTCTCGAGGTGAGGGTCAGGATTCTGAACCCTCAGCTATAGTAACTTGTGACCTAGTCTTTTCCCCTTTAAAAATGAGAGGCTGGTCATCTATTTTTGAGCATTTGGGTTGTTATGTTTCCATAGCTTAGCTATTGTAAATAGTGCTGTTATAAACATAGGGGTGCAGGTGCCCTTTTGAATTAATGTTTCTGTGTCCTTTGGGTAAATACCTAGGAGTGGAATTGCTGTATCATATGGAAGCTCTATCTTTAGTACGTTGAGGAATCTCCATAGATCAAGAAGATGTGGTACATATACACAATGGGATATTACTAAGCAATCAAAAAAGATAAACACATGCAATTTGCAGCAACATGAATGGAGCTAGAAGGGATCATGCTCAGTGAAATAAGCCAGAAAGAAAAAGAAAAATACCAGATGGTCTTACTCATAGCAGGAATTTAGAACCTAAATAAGGGACCAGGAAAAAGACATTATAATAAAGAAAAAGTCAAAATCAACAAGCAACTATAAACCAGAGACACACTGGGGGGTGGGAAGGGGAGGAGAGGAGAGACTAGGGTCAAAATAAGGGGGGTGGAATTATGTGGGGAATATAACCAAAATGAAAATGCATACATTGTGCAAAAATGAAAAATGATATAAGAATTATATAAAATAAAATATATTAAATATAAAATAAATAAAAATGAGAGTCTGGGTCAGGTGATGCCTGGGGCCCATTTCAGCTCTGATACCATCCCCAAAGTCTACGATCCCAGACTCTGAAGCTGTTTCAGGGTCATCACATTCAAAACCTACTGTGTGCACAGGCTGTATTCAGGGTCCTTCTGCTACCAAGTGAGACTGTGATGTGAGGGGAAGTCTGGAATCTGCCCTAAGACAGGGCTGTGCCCCAGGACTCTGCCTTAGACCTTTCCCCTCTCAAGTCCTCAGACGAGGCTGGCTGCAGACACAGTGGGCCTGGCATGTTTCTCTGCTTGAGAAGACCCTTTTCTTCTTTTTCAGTGGTACCAGAATCCCGACTACAGTTTCTTTGATAACTACAAGAGCTACCGGAAGCTGCATCCTGATCAGCCCTTTTACATCCTCAGGCCCCAGATGCCTTGGGAGCTGTGGGACATCATTCAGGAAATCTCCCCAGAGGAGATCCAGCCAAACCCTCCATCTTCTGGGATGCTTGGTGAGGCTGTCTGGGGAAAAGCTTTCGTGTTTATTTCTTCTGGGGTCTTGTTCATTCATTCATTCATTTGTTCACCAAACAATTGTTTTGCTGTATTTGGACACCATGCAGCATTCTAAATAGAATACAGAGATCGATAGGATAGAATCCTTCTGATTTACGGTGCCCATTGGAAGAGCTCCGTCAGGAGTTCCAGGAGGGCGTGACCACCGGTGCCACAGGAGAGAGTACTTACTCTGGGTAGATCGTGTGCTTCATGGAGGAGTGGCAATGGGCCAGGCCAAGGAGAAGGGTGGATGTGACAGGTGGAGGTGGAGGAAAGGGAGGCACAGAGAACGGGGGGAGGCTGGAAACGGGGGGAGAAATATTGGGACTTTATATTGATATGAGGAGAATGAGGCACTTGCCTTAGGCATATAATAAAAAAGTCACCATAAATACAAAACTTTATGATGAACAACACAACAGAATTTTAAATAAAGACAGGATCAATAATAGTACTGGGAACCAGATCGGAATCTGAGGAAAAGGAACAATCAATAATACTTTATTCAAAATTTTACCCTAGTTCACCTTTTCACCCTAGTCTCACCCCTCAGAGAAGAATTAGTGGTGGAGTTTGACAGAGTTTGGGGGCCAAGAAGGTGGAAACTTATTTGGGTGGGCTAAGGCAGAGTATAGAGGGCCCTGAGTGCTGGTTACAGACTTTTTTTTTTTTTTTTTTTATTTTTATTAATTAATTTATTTAATTTATTTATATAAGCACTGGGGTACAGTCAGAAGCGCGGGAGGGTGAGAGAATTCACCAGAGCCAGAGCGGGGAGCAGAGCAGGCAGAAGGACCGAAGTACACTGCTGAGGGGAGCAGCGGGCGGCAGGAGAGGTCTGCGCACCATGTGGTACTCTCCTCCGGTGGCCGGGGAGCAGCAGGGGATCGAACCGGCGCTGCAGAGGCTGCGGGCAGCTTCGCAACCCAGCGCTCAACCGCTGCGCCACCGGGGAGGCCTGGTTACAGACTTTCTTCTTGGGCTTTCTCCAGACCCCTCAGTCCTCACGGTCTGTCTGCACTTCTCTCTCTTTCATTTTGAATTTGACTGGACCATGGGCAATTTCTACCAGGTTCCAGGCTCCATAAATGCATAGGAAGGGAACGCCCTCTTGTGGGTCCCCTTGAGGGCCACTTTCCCACCAGATGACCCCAGCCACTCCCCATTGTGTAATTTGCCTCTCACCCTCCTGTTAGACTGCAAACACCCTCAGGTTGGGGGACTGTGTTGAACTCACCTTCATGGGTCTGGTCAGGTTTAGAGCGGTGGTAAGTTTTCCCTCAGTAGATGAACAAGTAAGTGTTTAATTTCGAAGATATTTAGTATAGAAAGAGACAGGGACTCTTACCCTATCACATCATCTTTACATCTGCTTTCAACTTCTGAATGGGTCTTTTGGGGTTCTTCCTGGAGTCCTTTCGAGGAGGAACATTTGGGGGAACATCATGAGGCACAAATTTATCTGTTGCCCTATTGGCCACCTCTGCCCATACTGTTCTTCCTTTTCCGATATTCCTCTCTTGCCCATCCCCGATGGCCATAGCCCCTGCCAGGCCCCACTCCGGTGCTCTATGAGGTTTGCCCAAGCTCTTCCATGGGATGTGCTTCCTCCCATAACTTCTAATCCCTTCTGCCATGCCCACATCTGTTAGTTATAGAGGTATCTTTCTACCCCATTGAGCCAGGGTGGCCAGAGCGCACAGGGGTTCTGGAACTAAGTTGCTGCTAGCTATATAAAATTTTGCTGTCATGAGAACTGTCCCATCATAGAGATCTCTGTTTTTACAGTTGACAAAGGGGTCTTAGATCCATGATCTTACTGCAGCCTAATAGTAGCCTCTGATAAAAGGAATGCCTTGGGGCAGATGAAGAGCTGAGGCCCAGAGAAGGCTGAGTCCTACACAAAGGACTAAGATGGGTGGGAAAAGCATAGGTGGTAGCACGGGTCTCCTCCTCATGTTGGGCTTCATCTGTGTTCTACACCATATCCCCTCTGCTCCAATCTCTCGCCTGAGGAGGTTGGCGGAGCCCTTCAATCTCTAGTGTTCAGGAGGACCTGCCCTGACCTGGGTGTGGGCCAGAGGTGCATCGGGCTCAAATGGTCCTTCACCCCAGTGAACAGCCTGGTGGATTAGCTCACCAGAAGAACTCCGACTTGGGGGGGGGGGGCGGTCAGAGAAATCAATAGAAACTCTAGAGAGTCACTCTTTGAATTTGGCTTCAAGCTGCTGGGCTCTTTGGGCAGAGCTCGGGAGGCGAGGTGGGTTGTCGGGCAGGACTCAACCTATGTCCCCTTTCTAGGCATCATCATCATGATGACACTGTGTGACCAGGTGGATATTTATGAGTTCCTCCCATCCAAGCGCAAGACCGATGTGTGCTACTACTACCAGAAGTTCTTTGACAGCGCCTGCACCATGGGCGCCTACCACCCGCTACTCTTTGAGAAGAACATGGTGAAGCACCTCAACCAGGGCACAGACGAAGACATTTACCAGTTTGGAAAAGCCACACTGCCTGGCTTCCGGAGCATTCACTGCTGAGCCTGGACTGCTGCCAGGTGTCCTTATCTTTCTCCATTGGGCATTTTCAAGCTGCTCTCTTAGCCACTCTGACCTGGGAAGACCAAGTCCCTGAACAGTCCCAGCCTGTCCCTGGTGTGCTAGGCAGTGTCAGTGAGCGCTCTGGGGCTTCAAGCACCTGAGGGCAAGGAAGCAGGTCCAGCCTGCCCTGCAGCCGCAGACGTGAGCGCAGTGCCCGTGTCACACATGTACACGCACACACACACAATGTTCTTTTCAGACAGAGTTCTCCTCTCCTTCCCCACAAGCAGATGCAGGATCAATCTTTGCCACCAGGGCTGCCAAAGCTGAGCGTTTTCCCCACCTGAATGATGCTATTCATGCCAACCAGCGCTCTGTATTACGTGAAATCTGCACCGTGATGTTGATTTCATGTTTTCAAGACATTCTCCCAAATTCTGATTGTGCCTGGTACAGAATGACACAGGGTAGGGAGTGGGGGTAGGGGGGTGGGGGGGATTCATAGGGCGAGGGGGAGCAAGTAAGTAATCCAGGGCATAGGAAACATGCTGGATTCCTCCAGGACAAAGTCGCCCCTGGGGTCCATTCCCCTAGGGGAGGCAGTGTTCTTATTTCTGGATGGTTTCGCTGGTCCTTCGCCTGGGCACTCCTGAGCAAAGGGCCTTGATGAACTACATCTCCCTCTGTATGGAGGTGGAGATGCAGAAGGTACAGTCACCACCCCTAAGTGGCTCACAAGTCAGTGGCAGAGATGGGTAGAACAGTGCTGCCGGGCCTATATTGAGATGGGCCTGTTGTGCCATCTGTCTGCGTACCCAGAGGTCGCACACTATTGTGTAAGTCATGGAAGTTTGCACCAGTCTGGGGACAGTAGAGTGGCTTCCAGAGGAGAGAAGGAACATGTTGGGTAGATTTTGTTGGAGATATTTGAGTTGTGTGTTCTATTATCTGTACTTATTCTCTAAGACCTGCCTGAACTTAGACTCAAATTATTTTTTGAGAAAGTCCCCTACCATGTCTGAGGCAGCAAGTATAAGCCCCATGGCACATACCAGGAAAGCTGGATGCCAAAAACCTGATTTCTCCAGGCTTGGTCTGGCCTGATGTCTTTCTTCCCCATTGGGTTTGCATGCTGTATTGAACACTTCCTTTTTAAGGCCCACCCTCATTCTCCTAACTGGCATCTTTTCTAATCCTTTAAAATAATTTTCTCCTCCGCCCCCATTACTTCTAAGCATTTCCTACTTTAAAAAGGTCCTGACCTTATTTCTTTGTCCTTTGTGGGCCTTCTGTGAAGTCTCTCAGGGAGTGCGGATGTGGTTCCCAGAACCTAAAGTTGTTATCAGTGGGCAGAACCTTGGGGATCATAACTGATCTGCATGGGGTATATCAAATTGCCATACTCTCAACCCTGTCCAGCAGGGAGCCATGCCAGAATCTTTGGGCAGAAGTCCCTGCAGTCTTGCTCTTTGGATGGTTCTGCTTAGTCTTATTCCCTGCTGGAGCCACATGGACTGATCAGCCCCCTAGTGTGGAGAGGATAGATGCTTTGCTTGCTGCAGACGCAGGCTTTTGGACTCCTGAAGCTGGCCCAGTGTGCTCAGGGCCCCTAAAGTTTATGCTCCAGACCAGCTGATTGCAGCTGGGTACTCAATTGCTGCCAAAATGTTGGCATGGTAGGCAGTAGAGCGAACCCTATAGTAAGCAGCTCAGGGTTTTCGAGTTGATGCTCCCTATTTACTAGCTGTGCCACCAAGAGCAAATCCTCCTCTTTCAGTCTCTGTTTCCACATTTTTAAAATTGGGGTGATGCCATGCCAGGCCCCTTCTGGCCAGCAATCCGAGCCCAGAGGGGAAGCGGGCATCCAAGTCTGGGTGCACAGGAAAGTGCATCTCCGGCTCACCATTTTAGAACAGGGACCTTCCTTCAATAAAGAATTCTTGAAACTGGCAGAAGGCTCCCCGTGGAGCCAGAGTTGAGCTGAAGGCCCCCACAAGCCTGGTCCCCCCTGGCAGGGAGTGGCATCCAGAGGGTGATCCAGCTATTTGGAGCCCAGAGTGTAATCCAGCCGCCCCACCTCCAGGGAAGTCTGTGGGACTTCAAGACACACCTTTGGAATTAAACAAACACAGAAGGAGGAGATATTCTGTAACAGTGACCATTAACATACTCAAAGTACCACTGCCTCACTGGACTTCTGGCATAACAGTATTTGACTCATTTGGACCACCAGTTTCCGAAATCCCAGAAAGAGCACACCAAAAACATGTCAGCCAGTACCAGCGACACAGTGTCTCAATGCATAGGGCAAATTAGAAAACAGGCAGCATGGAGAAGAAAAACTACATGCAGCCTAGCATCTCCTCAGGAAAAAGACACACCACCAAAAGAAAACCACCCACCAGATTGCAACGACAGTGACTTGGAAGAACTTCTGAGCCTTCCAGAAAGAGAATTTAAAATTGCCATGATTAAAAAACTGAAGGAAGTCAACAATGATATGGGAAAAATAATCAACAATCAGAAGAATAAAATTGAGTCGCTAAAGAGGGAAGTAAAAGAAATGCGGGAGATCAAAGACTTAATGGAAGAGCTAAAGAACTCTGGGAAAAGCAGTAAAAGCAAAATAGATGAAATGGAGGAATGAATAAGTACTCTTGAAGACACAGAAATAAAAAGAACCAAAACAGAAAAGGAAAGAGAAGTATGAAGGAAAAAGACTGAAGAAAGACTTCAGGAACTATCTGACTCCATGAGGAAAGGAAATATAAGAATTATAGGAATCCCAGAAGGAGAGGAGAGAGACGTAGGAACAGAGAAAATATTAAAGGTAATAATTGAAGAGAACTTCCCAAATGTGAAGGAGCTGAAAATAGACATACAAGAAGCAAGAAGAACACCAAACTTCCATGACGAAAGGAAAAATACAGCAAGACACATACTAGTAAAACTCCCAAGAATCCAAGACAAGGAAAAAATAATGAAGATGACAAGAGAGAAGAAACATATAACATTCAAAGGAAAACCAATCAGACTGACATCAGACTTCTCTGAAAAAACACGGGCAAGGAGAGAGTGGAGGGACATAGTAAACAGACTCCAAGACAACAAATGCAAACCAAGAATACTCTATCCCGCAAAGCTTTCCTTCCTCTATGAAGAAAGAATAAGGACCTTCCCAGACAAACAGAAACTCTGGAATTTCATTACGACTAAACCAGCACTCCAAAAAACACTACAAGGAGTCCTAAAGCCAGAACCAACAGAGGGATGAATAACAATGAAACAAGGCCAAAAAAAAAAAAGTTATTAAAGGAATAAATAAATAAAATCAGAGGAGAGGAAAGACAAACACAATGGCAAATACAGACGCTAACATATCAATATTAACTCTAAATGTAAATGGACTAAACTCTTCAATAAAAACACACAGAGTCGCAGGCTGGATTAAGAAACAAAACCCAACCTTTTGCTGTCTCCAGGAAACACATTTAATGACAAAAGATAAAAATAGATTCCAAGTTAAAGGATGGAAAACATTCCTACAAGCAAATGGACCAAAAAAGAAGGCAGGAACAGCCAAAATTGGGGTGATGAGGGTTGTCGTGAGAGTTATGTGAAACTCTCTCCTTTCTGTACCTAGCAGGTACAGGGCTCAGGAGATGCTGGTTTCCTTCATGAAGGACCTGCTCTGTGCAGATACCTGGGCAGACCCTGCTTTAAAGAAGGCCAGAGAAAGGGCCTTAGGGAATTAACTGTCCTGTTGGGAGACAAAAACTACCCTGCTCAGAACACACAGGAAACCATTTGAGGTATGGAGGCACATAATGCACCCACCTACCTCCTCCCTGCAGGTAACTCCAACCTGATTCAGACTTAACTGCTGGGTGGAATGAGTCTTTTCCACCTCTCTGTGCCCATGAGTTCCTGGTTTGCTTTCTGATCTGATTTGACACTCATTGCCATCTTCAAATCATGAACACAGCGCAGCGGTGTGGACACAGAGACTACACTGGGTAGATGCTAGCTTTTAATTGTTATTATTAATATAAGGGATCAAATTAATTTATGATTCTGACTTAAATGCAAATAAGATGAAGTGTTATAGTTGATCTGATGCAATGTTTTGTATTTGTGACAGATAATTTATAAATCGTGCAGGAAAAGCCTCTGTCCTCCTTCTGTATCATGAGATCCTCTCATCCTTCCACCAATCAAATATGCTATTGGTATTGGTTTGAAGTTGAGACAGTAATCTCAGAAACTGCTGAAACATAGCTCAGCTAATTCTGAATTACCAAAAGATTATGTGAAAAAAATTAAATAAATATGTTTTTTAAAAAGATTATCTAGCCCTCTCTTCTTACTTGCTAAGGGAATGACTGCTGATTGGAAACTCTTGTCCTCAAAGAGGACAGACACACTGGAGTCCTGAATTCCCAAACTCACTCCTCCTCCAAGTCCTCTGGACTTAACCTGCTTCTTCAGTGCCCCAGCAGAGGGAGTACCCCCTTAGGAGGCAGGAGGCCATCTGTGAGACAGTGACTGCTTTATTGATTTTTCTCCCTTTTGTTCTTGTTTGAAATTAAATAACTAAACTATTGGTCATTGTACACATCAGGGAAGGGCTATAATAGGGCAGATAGCAGAGTGAAAAGAAACTCCTTACCTTACTTTCCAAAGACCTTAAAAGAAAGATGTTCCAGGGGAATAGCCAAGATGTTTGGATAAAAATCCTGAGCGGGAGCAGGATGAGGGGAGAAAGGATAATTCCTTTTTCCCTATGAACTGCCCACCTCCTCTGTGGGTTGAATGTGTCCCCCTAAAATTCATGTGTAAAAGTCCTACCCCTAGCACATCAGAATGTGACTTCAGTTGCCAGTAGGGGCAATGTAGGTGTATTAGTTATGAGGGGGTCATACTGGAGTAGGGTTAATGTCCTTTTAAAAAATGGAGGTCGGAGCAGACACACACAGGGAGAATGTCCTGTCAAGATAAGGGCAGAGATCAGACTGATAGTTCTCTAAGCCAAGGAACTTCAAAAATTGCCAGCAAAGCTACCAGAAATGAGGGGGGATAGGCATGGAGCACTCCCTCATATTCCTCAGAAGGAACCCACCCTACTGACACCTGGATCTCAGACTTCCAATCTCTCAAATTGAGATAACACACTTCTGTTGTTGAAGTCACCCAGTGCCTAGTACTTTGTTAGGGCAGTCCTGGCAAATGAATACTCTCCCCCTCCTGCGTGTAACCCCTGCTCCTACAACAGTTCCCTGGACTGTGCTGGAAAGAACCGTTAAAAGAACGTGGCTATCGAGGGCCTGGGAAGGGGGCCTGGTGCCTGCTTCTCAGCAAACTCTGGGTAGGGCCTGCAAGTCTGGGGAGGGTGGGTCTGTGTAAGGGTTTGTGTCCAGGCAGATGTGACTTCAGCAGCCTTGAAGAGGTCCCATCCAAAGAGGCACAAGGACA